GGTCAGTCCTGGCATCTGTTTCAAATGTCACAGCACAACCGTGGCAGAGAACAAATGGAAGTGTCTGTAAGTGCCATGAAATGCTAAGTGTATTTTCCTCACCATTGAGTAAACTCAGAGGTTAACCCATACACTGTGGAGCAAGAGATTAGTTCCATGGTCAGGGAGTGGTACAGTATATCTATGCCTGCAATGCAAGTTTGTGCAAGTTTCCTCAGACGTACCACCAAAATCTAAATAAGAATGTAAATATGCACATCTTCTAGAAGAAAGGACTGGTGTGTAGCCTTGTTTTCATACAGAATATAACCTGTAAAAATAAAGTACTTCATTCCACAGAGCCTGCATTAGTTAATGTATGGTATTAGTTAATGTATGGTACAACCAATTCAGAAATATCCAGCCAATATTTCTGAATATTATCCTGCTAAATATGCTCTCACTGCAATGCCAGCATCTATGTGCATAAACGTATTCTCGTGTGTGTACATGCACACATACCACTTCATACTTGGTTGACGATTTACCCAAACAAATGCTAACCTTGTTGTGACTTGATAGTGGAATGCCATTGTTGTGTACTGCTGAGCTGGAGTGGTTTACTTGTGGTTTTCCTTTTGACAGGAATACCTTTTTCATGAGTCACATTTTATTAGATGTCTGTAACAGACAAAAGCACCCAACACCTGTATTAATGTGTATTTCTTTCTCTCTCTACAATACTGTGAGATTAGCTGACCAAATATTTGACATTTGTCTGTACCATACCGAAGGGAATTGCCTTTGACACCTCTGCAAAGTCTCCTGATGTATTTTTCCCCCTGTAGTGCAAATTGTGCCAGGTTTGCATGTTGAATTGTATCATCTTAAATAAATACACCAGGAACTCATTTTTTTTCTGGACCATATATCTTTCGGTCTCTTTCTGCTTTCAACACATGGGAAAGTGTTGGCACAAGGACAATTTCAGGCTTAAGAATTTAGCAAGTTGCTTGCAAGGCACTTTGGTTCAAAAGGAAGAGACAGTAGATCAATGATTCTACCACATTTCCATGTGCTGGAATAAACAAGCAGCACAATTGTCCAGTCCCACAGGGTACGGTATATGCCCTATCTGCCAAGGAGGTTTTAACAGAGGGAACAGCTTCTGAAAGAGCCACAGCTGTAAAACAGTAAAACAACATTATACTGTTTAACATGGCATCTGTAGAATCACTAGTAACTTTAATATTTCCACATGTTATGCATTTTGTTGCCTTATTAAAGTTTGTGATCCTGTGGTCATTGAGTTATTGGTGACAGTAAGAGCTTTTATCGTCCTTCTGTTTTAGTTAGCACTTACTCAAATTTGTTCAAATTAGTTATGTTACTATCTTGCCCACCTATTCTTCTTCCGCTTTGGTTTACATAACCAGAAAAGGTAGATCAGGTTTGCTTTAAAATTTGTTTGCTCATATTAAAATGTATTTGTAATTGCACAACAGAGCATTAGCATGTGAGCCCAACTGACTAAATGAAAATCCAAGCAAATACTTCCTCTGCGCCAACAAAAGGTTCCTGAAAAACTTCAGAACACAGCTTTGCTACTAAGAGTGCGGTCAACAGAACCGCATTAAGTCCTGGCACAGAATGAAAATCCTGGCTGACATGTTTATATATTCCATTTTAAGGAAAACCACTCTTTTGTTTCCAGGTTGAGTCATGCATAGAGTAGCCCCATTGAAATCATTGTAAACTTAAGCTCCATTGATAGCAGTGGGCTCATCCTAAAATGACTTTATCTGAGCCCAACTCATGCATTTGTGAAGCATCTTATTTCTTCATCTTTTCTCCAGCTTGTCCACCCTTGTGTGGAAAGGAGGCTGGCATCACCATAGCCCTAAGAAAAGAATTTGTAATATCTAAATACATGCTCAGTACCTCTTCTTTTAATATATTGTGCTGTAGAAAGTTCAGTGTAGCAAGAGATAACCTAGAATAGGAAATTACACTACCAAGCCATGGTCCAGTGTTAAAAGTATCATGCTACATCCTGCAGCAGGAAAACTGCATTTAAAAGTTGTAGTATTAATAATAGTAACAGTAGTCATTAAGTCAGGAAGCAAATTAGCAGCTATAAATTACTACTACTACTACTACTATTACATTAATTATGGTTTGCAGGCATGAATTGTTAATATATTATTATATGTGTTTCAGATGGCATGAGATGTTTTCTTTCTGTTTTTCATTCTCCGAAATATTCTCTAAAATATTTGAGCTTTGTGATGATTAATGGATTAATACTTTTAAGAAAGAAGTACCTTGAAGACACCATAATCTGACAGATATTTTGTCCTGATGAGCGATGGGATGAGAAGGGAGAAATCTATCACATAGCTTAAAAATAGAAGCATCTGTTTTATAATATGCAATGATCGCTGAGTTGTGCAGCTGCTCTGTATTATATAAACTATTCTTACAGTCAAGTGAGGTCTCTCCTGATAACCATCCAGGAATGCTTCAGATGCCAGCATAGATAGAAACAGTCCATGAAATAGGATGGATCTTATGGACTTTGCCAGTTTTGCTTGAATAAAAAAATTGCACCAAGTCTTTCAGGCTGCTAAGTACCACTAAGTATAAGGTGGCATGATGACAACTGCAATCATGACAATGCTTGATCTTTACTTAAAAAAAAACCTGTCCCTTATAATTCTAAAAATGTTGACTGTAGACTTGCTCTCTCCATTGATGGGCGATTAGTGTGCCCTCCTCCACACTCATTCTTGACCCCAACATGGTCATTGACTCTGATTTGAGCTTCAGTAGTCCATGGCCTAGGCAAGGGTCAGGGGTAGAGCCAGGGACAGGGCCAGGGCGGGTGGGTCAAAGAGTCGTAGAGATTCTGAACAACAACAGCTCAGTGACTTGGGATTTGGTATCAGAAAGGCAACCACTTCACATGAACATGTAATATTTTCTTCAGAGGTCCTGATCAGGATCTGAGAAGTGGGGCCTTTTTTTCCCCCAATTGCCTCTTAAATGTCAAGAGGGGCAAAGAGGATGTCCTTTTGGGGAGTGACACTAGGCAGGTACCCTCCCACCACCACCGCTCTAAACACAAGGCCCAAAGGGGGTTCATTATCTATGTTTAGGGTGTTTCCTATTCTTGTTTTGGTGGACAGTACTTTTGCTGCTGATTTTATTGTCTCATATACTTAATTTTTAATGCAGACTGCTAATTATATATTAGTTAGTAAATGGGCAGTCATTTCTTCTAAGGGGGAGGAAGAAGTTGCATAGTGTTATGTTGGCCTAATTCATGCACAGAGTGTACACCACTATTACATGTGCTGGTGTACAGTACCTCCTTTGCCTTCCTTGCAGATATCCATTGTAAAGTGGTATATAGTCCCACCTGATGCCCCCATCCCACCCTTTCTTGTTGCCTATTGGCCAGCTCAACCTAAAAGAGGCAAAGTTCTCAGGGACTGCATTCCAGTGGAGGCAGTGGGATGGGCCCCAATACAAAAGAATGGGTCCAAAAACACCAAAAAAAAAACACACATAGTTTAAAGTACTTACTGCCAGTCACTAAGCCTGAGGAGAGGCATTTTAAAATTTTAACAGTGTGTGTGGGGAAAATCCATACAAAAACTGGGAGGCTCACAAACAATGATTAAATGGCATTTTGGAGAACACATATTTAGGATTTTGCAGTTGAGTGTCACACTTATATATTTAACAAAAGATTAGTAGTGCACCGTGTAATATTACTAGTGTAAGCTAAAAGTGGTCAATATTATGCAAAAACTCTGGCTTATTTTTCGTGCTAGGTAACACTGAAATGAAGAAATACAGCCACACATCTGAAATCATGCCAAGACGTTTGGCTATGTGCTCTGTTGCACCTACATTATCATTCCCCAACATGAGTAGACGTTGTCTAGAGGGGCGAGGTAGAAATCGAATAAATAAATAAAAAAATAAAAATAGTCTCTAGATGTATTGAATTACAATTCCCATAAGCCCCCAGCTATGATAGTTTCATAAGTGATGTGTGTGCATAAACCGTCTCTCTAAAGGCAGGTACAAGATCACCTAACTTTGCTTTCTCTCATCTTTGACATTTCTAAATATGAAACTCTTTCCATCAAATTGATTAAAAAGCATGGATGGTGGGGTTTTTATGGTGAGTTATTCTTTAGAAAGACAAATAAAAATTGCAAACTTCTTTACTGGCCAAAGTCAGTACACAGATGTTCCCATGAGAGGGTCATAATATACCTGCCAACCATTTGATTCTTAGAAATAAGGTACCTAATGGAAAGATGATCACCACAAACATGGCTGTACATAAGTACTTTTAAGAACTAAGTACTCAGAGTCCTCTGCCTGGTTGGGTTAATGAGTGATTTTTTCCTCCTTCTCCTCCATTAAAATTTTTAAATCTCATGTTCCTTCTGGTGCACGTACAAAAAAGGTGCAAATTTTGGAAAGATCATGCTGCCACTCTTCCAAAATCCTCAACCATCTGTAAGTTATCTGAGAAATCTTCCCTGCTACTAGTGTTCCATCAAAATATGAGTTGGTTGAATGTAAATTGAAGGAATTAATGTATAGAGACTCCCCAAAGGCTATTTAAGCATAACATTACACTTCTAGGAGTCCCCCCATCTGTTACTAGCCATCATTGTCTATTCTGATTAATGGGTTAATGCATTTAGTGTCTGTCTGTCTGTCTGTCTTTCTTTTTTAAAATTAAACCAAGCTTAAAATGTTTTCCATTTTGTTTAAGCACCTGGCCTCTCAAGTCACTGCTATCCATAAATCTTCATAAAATAACCATTACCTTTTAAATTACTTATGTCATACCATTATCTCCATTGATGAAATTTTAAATGTAAGATGAAGGATGAACTGCTAAAAGTGGCCTCTAAAGTAATAGTGCCAGATTCTTGTGGTTTATGATAGCAGACTTGATGTTAATATTTAATCGCTGTTATTTTCCATTACAGCCCATCACTGCCTGCTCTGGATTGGCAGTTACCATCTCACTCAGGACCTTATGAACTTCGGATTGAAGTGCAGCCCAAGTCCCATCACAGAGCCCATTATGAGACAGAAGGGAGCCGAGGGGCTGTCAAAGCATCTGCTGGGGGACATCCAGTGGTACAGGTAAAAGCATTTCTTATGGCAGTGAAGGTTATTTGTAAAGCCAAAGTTTGGATGGTTTTTGATTGGCATGCTCCTTCCATGTGTTACACATTTGCCTCCCGTTGCGACGGTGGAGGCTGATTTCCTGTAAGTATTCTGCTGGCAACTGGGTATTAAGTCTTGGTTGGTGCAATAACAGACTACATGTCTGATGGTGTGTTTTAAGACTGATTCATACATCACGTCAGTACTGTGGTTATCAGAATGCCTCTGTGCACCATAAAGTGTGTGAGAAGCTAGTCATCTTGTGAACCACTGAGAGTGCATTTCTGTGCTGAGGTAGGTTTGCTTAATCCCATTGATTTCATTGGGCTTTGATATGCCTACTTCACTCTAGTATCTGGTCGCTTGTTTGTCAGGGATCAGTGCCACTGGGCAAGTTGTTGACCTGAACCCTATAGAAGGCCTGCTACCTACTCAAAGGGTCAGCTACAGACCAGCACTGTCCTATGCATCAAAGTCCCAGTGGCATCTGGTGCTTGTTGTCATTTTAATCCTCCCACCATGCTTCTGATGATATACGAATGTCCCAGAGGAACTGTGCAAAGGATTAAAATGATGGGTGTCAACATCAACACTTGCAAGGTTTTCCAGGTAGATTTGTTGTTGGCACACCACTGTCAGTGAGGGAGAGGTTGTCAAAGCCAGTGAGGAGTCCCTTGTATGGGAAGTGTTGCAAAAAGTTCTGTCAAACCTGGTACTAGGCCTCTGTCTTCATCAACAATATCTTCAGATAAGGTACACCATTGGCATTGTGGTCATCCATTCAAAAGTGTTGACCCACATTGCTGTCTCCATATGTTGAAATAGTGTGCAGAGATAAGCTCAACAACCCTATTTCATTGATTCAATGTGATTCAGTGGATTGGATCCACACTTGGTCAAGTATAGTTCGAATCAGTGAACTCACAAATTTAAGACATATTGATTTTAGTGGTTCTGCTCTTACTATATCTAATCTAACAGATGAGTATATGGAAGTACAGTGGTGCCCTGCTTAAAGCCTACCCCGCTTGATGACGAATCCGCTTCACGATGAAGTTTTTGTGATCACTTTTGCGATCGCAATATGATGTTTGAATGGTTTTGTTTTGCTTTGCGATGATCGGTTCCCTGCTTCAGGAACTGATTTTTTGCATTATGACGATCAAAAAACAGTTGATCGTCGGGTTTCAAAATGGCCACTGGGTGTACAAAATGACTCCCCGCTGTGTTTAGGAAGGCTTTTTCGCAAGACAGGGAGCAGAAAATGGCTGCCCTATGGAGGATCTTCACTGGACGGCGAGTTATTCAGCCCATTGGAATGCATTGAACAGGTTTTCAATGCATTTCAATGGGATTTTTTATTTTGCTTGACGAGGATATCGCTTAACAGCGATTTTTCTGGAACGGATTATCCTCGTCAAGCGAGGCACCACTGTAAAGAAGGTGGGTGAGATATGACAATTACCTTGTGAATTGTCACAGTGACCTTGTCTTCAGATTCTTTAATTTTGCACATTTTTTGAATATGCAGCATTACGCAACACAGTATAGTCTCCACTTTCCAAGTTGGTCTGTATTCAGCAATATTGAGAAGTCTCGTTCCATTGTAAAATATTTCTATTCTTTTTTTAAAAAAGTAGCTGTAATATTTTCATTGCAGGTTTCAAATATGTAAGAAAATGTTTTTCATCCCAAATTCACTAAGCTATCCAACTAGCCCCAAGGCCAAGATTAGTAGAGACCTTAATTAAAGGTTAATGTGTTTCCTTAAAAAGCCAGTATATGAACAGGCTTTTTGGTCACACATGCATGAGAGGTTGCTTCTTGCTTTGTATGAGCAAACAAACAAGCCAGGTATGTGTCAAATAGTTATGATTCTCCATCTGGGAAACTCTTAATTAATAGCTTTGGAACAAGCCAGGATATAAACTGTGGCTTGACATTGATAGTGTTACAGCTTGATAGTAAACAAATTAAAAAATTATTTATTATCTCTAATTTGTTTTTAAAAATGAACAATGAATTTAAAATAGATTATTTTAGCTGTTAAACGCCAGCAATACTGAGGTACTTTTTTTCCAGTGTTAATTAATATAGCATTTTATATTGGCCAGAATCCTGTTGGAATTTTACTCTAGAGTAAGTGAAATTGTGTAAATTATAGTGGTGAATTGCAGCTAACTAACAAGATGTTGGTCAGTGGCGTGGGTGCACACTTGGTCACATGACTGGAAGATGATCACTATCATTTAGTCATCAGCAACTGGCATCTCCAGAATTAGCTGCATTTGCAATAACAACTTAATTATTTTCACTTACCTCTGAGTGAAAACCCAATAGGATTCTGGCCCTTAATCTATTCCCTGTGGGAAATGTGGGTGTTTGAGATGATTTTTAGTAATTTAAAATAATAACCTGTATAGGTAGCAAGGTGGTGCTAATGACTAAATGATAGTGGAAATAGAACTCAGGCAATACTTGCTTTGATGAGACTTATCTCATGTGGGATATATTTATTTAATACCTTTTATTTATTTATTTTCACAAAGGATGCTTTCTAGAAAGTTGCTGTTTCCTTAATCTTTAAAGAAGTTTTGCACGTCTGAAATGGTTTTCTCCTGGGAATAATTCTAAGGTTTGACTTCTAAAGAGACAGGTGTATGGAAAATGTATCAACATTTTACACAGTTGGGTTTTGTTTTTATTAAACATAATTTACAAGCATTTAACTTAAGCAGCACAATTCACTGTGCCAGCTGCTTGATTATTCCTATCATGTCTCCTTGTATTAAAGAAAAATATATATAAGAGAAAATCTCTAGGAATACAGTTGTTCATTTGCTAGTTTCCTAATGCAAGGAAATGTAGATGGGAGGCATCATTTGACAGTTGCCAGTTTGACATTTAAAATTTCCACCCATGTGATTGGAAAATGGTATATAGTGCCAACATTTAATCGGGTTAAATGTGTTCATGCATTCCTGTGCAACCCTTCCTATAGTGTGTGCATATAAAGTGAAGCATGTTACATGTCTGTACATAGAAACAATTGCAGAAAAAGAAGAGAAAGACGGGGGGGACATCAGGAAAGAAGAGGGAAGCAAGCCTCAAATCAGTGGGAATAATGGAAAAAATTGATCCATTTTTTGCTCCCTGTGATGAATTATTGAGTGTCTTGTGTTTATTTTCCCATGGATAGAGTATTCCTATACATTATTTCCAGCTACCTTTTCCTGGGCAGCAGTTATTGAGGGATGCACATTCATGTGTTACAAAGCTCTTGGGTGTTGGGGACCACACCACTCACGTTGTCTACCAAGTGATGGGAAAAGTTGTCAATGTGCAGCATCATTGAGTGTTGCTGGCCTAGCATTTATGGCCAGAACACACACCAACAAAAGGAGAATTTATAGACTGCTTAAGAGTTGGAAAGCAAGAGCAGGCAGCACCATGACAGAGCGCTGAGCAGAGACCTAGGTTCAAACAGAAGATAGATGCCATCCCCTCTCCTCCCAAGACCCCCAGTGTTAGCCCTAGGGCAGAGAAACTCCAGTAACAGCACTAGTGATGTGTTGAGTTTTTGTGTGCCTGGATTCTACAGCGAAAGGGATCCTGGTGTTTTGCCATGGAAGCGATGTGAGGGGAGTCCTTACAGTGAATCTATGACCATTTCCCTCTTTTCATTTTAAGATAGTGTGTAGGTGAGACCATATGAGGGTGTTGGAAACCTACGAATACATTTGCTGGTATTTGCCTTAGAACGCAGCTGTTCAATGTGCAAGGATGATTCTCCTATATTGCAGCTACCTCTGTTTGATGGAAAGTTTCTTTTCTACATCTGAGTTTGGTGTTGCTGCAAGTACATTTTGTGCTGGGTGTAATTCTCTTTCCCTTTCTGCCCTTTTCAAGTGTCACTACAGTAACCGTAAGCAGCATTCACATCCATATATTGTTCTTGCATTTGATACAGCTGGAGTGTCCAATAAAGTATGAAGATTGCATTGTTAAAACTGCTTTGACTGACCTTCATTTAACTCCTAATTTGGCTTTTTCTCTCCCCCCCCCAAACAGATAACATGCAGTCATAGGAAGATCTGGCCTCTTACTCTCATCAACACACCTTTGCTGCCTTCAGAGTGAATATGCAGAAATGTACCTGCATGTTTCATGTAGCTTCCCATGTCTACATGTTTGCTGCTTACTTGTTTGAGTGTTTGGCTACCATGGCAGCCTGAATTTATCATATGGATTTCTAAATGCTTGTAGAGTGAGATGAGCTGACACACCTAGAAAGTGCTAAAATTGTTCTGAGAACACTGGCTAATCAAAGGTGCTGGTTAATTGGCCATGGTGAGATAATGCTTGGCAGTATTTCATATCCTGTCCCATGAAACTGCATTACTAGCATTATCCTCTTCAGAGATTCCCTACATTCCCTGTTGAGCTGTTACAAAAGAAGAAGAAGAAGAGTCTTCTATTTTGGGGATTTTAGATTCTGAGTTCCGAACCCTGTCCCTCCCACTAACATCTTGGGTGGTCCTAGGCAACTGCTTTTACTTCTTGGATGGTGTGAACATGCAGACTGTTTTCTTGCTTCTGTAAGAGGATGCATGTCAGCACCAATTACTGAGACTCCATACAAAGGTACCTGAAGAGGAAGTGAAAAGTATTCAAGGGGTAAACTTAAGTGCCTCTCATTTGTATAACAAGTATGAATAAGTATTTTGGACATGCCTCTCACATTATCACATCTCATCTCTCAACCTTTCTCAGTTCTTTTTTTTGCATGAGATTTTAGTGTCTTTCCTTTAAAAAAAAGGAACACAAGTGGGAAGGAGTAAAACTGAGTCTTTGACACAACCATTTCAGATAATTGACCTAATGATAATGTGCTCTGCATGACAGGGAGCTGCCCTAAGCCTTGAAAAACCTCCCCTTTGGCACTAAGGATGTCATGTGTAGGAAAGATTGCATCT